TGTGCGGAACCGGCAGGTCCCACCACTGGAAACCACCCTGGCAGCAGGCAGCTTCTAGGGGCAGAGAGCAATCTTCCAGCTCCCCCTGCCAGCCCCTGGTCTAGCACCCAGGGAAGCCTGGAGCTCCCCCCGGATACTGCATAGTGCCAGAGCAGGGTGGGAGCAGCCCTCTCCTGGCTGCTCTCATTGGGCATGTCCAGTGGAGCATGGCCGTGCAGTATGTAGTGCTGCAGACATGTCTGCAGCGTCACATACCGCACATTCAGCTGTTCTCCACACTGCAAGAGAGAAGCACAGAGGTGTTTTTTGACCCTTAGCTATCCAGGGGTCAAAAAAACACGCAGTAAAAAAAGCAGACTGGCATATTTGGCGGCAATGTGCGCTGCCCAAAGCCAGACCCTGGCTGTCCAGAGCTGTGCTCCACTGCAGACAGGCTCTGCACAGCAGAATCACCACTGCTGTGTACTTGGGAGTCCCCCAGGAACCCAGATAAGGCTGCTGGAGCCAGCCCAGTGCTGGCCCCATTCTCCCCCACCCCACCCGGGATAACTTGCTGTGCACCAGAGTGTGTGTAGCACAGGCGTTCCCCGGGGACAACTAGCTGTGGCACAAGGTGCATTTGCATTAATTGTCCCTGGGGAAACAAACTTCTACACACATCTGGACGCAGCCATTGGGACCAAATCTTCTCCCAAACGCATGCATGTTTAGATGCCTGCCCAGGGTGGGTTTACTCCGGAGTAAATTACTGGAATAAACCCATCCATCATCATTTGCATGTGTAGACACACCCATTGGGTAGGAATGATCGTATACCAAGCAGGGAGTTTGGCAAGATGACCTCCAGAGGTCCCTTCCAGCCCTACTTTTATGTGATTCTATCCTCTAATTACAAATCTCTAAACATGAACATCTATCTATCCATCCCTCTATAAATGGAGCAGTGCTTCCAGTCATGATGCACAGTGTTTCAACACCTCTCTTGCACTTTATACAAAATCTGTTTTACATTATTTTGATTCCTACAGGCAATGCTTGGAGCATGACATGGAAGAGGAGGAGAATCAAACTATGGTGGCTGAATTTATCTTCACTGGCTTCTCCAATCACCCGACCACAAGGATGATGTTGACTGGGTTCTTCCTTGTGGCCTACCTGGTAACCCTAGCTGGAAATGGACTCATCATTCTCCTAACTGTGTATGATACACACCTTCACACCCCCATGTACTTCTTCCTCAGCAATTTGTCCTTCCTGGATATCTGCTACTCTACAACTACCATCCCACAGGCATTAGTAAGTTTTTCAGTTGACAGACCCACCATTTCCTATGCACGGTGTTCCTGCCAGTTATTGACTTCACTTTACTTAGGATGCACTGAGTGTCTCCTGCTAGCAGTCATGGCATACGACCGCTATGTTGCTATTGCCAGCCCACTGCATTATACACTTATTATGAGCAAGACAGAGCGTACCAACCTGGCATTGGGTTCATGGACAGTTGCCTTCCTGCT